GCAATCGTTTTTCTTCGCCGTCTTTTGCAATCGTTTCTCTTCGCCGTCTTTTGCAATCGTTTCTCTTCGCCGTCTTTTGCAATCGTTTCTATTCGCCGTCTTTTGCAATCGTTTCTCTTCATCGTCTTTTGCAGTCGTTTCTCTTCACCGTCTTTTGCAATCGTTTCTCTTCACCGTCCTCAACGTATTTCAGTTTCCGAATCATACTGCTGTTTTTGCCTACGTTTCGTTAGATACTTTCACATTTTGTAGAAAATCAGCATTCATTTTTTTTTAAATCCACATGTTCCTAAGCACTTTCTCCAGCTTGTACAGATACATAATTTAAATTGTCATGTCACTAAATATTTATTCTTACTTTATAAATGTACAACAGTGACTATGATCCAGTTACATTTATACACCCAATTCTACCATAATCAAATCAAATTGTGCTTTCAAATAAACCCAGGAATATGATTTATAAATAAAGGGAGTAAAACGTTTACAAAATTACAGGCTCCGTTTGACTGAAGCTCACACACATTAACAGTATTGTTTAGATATAACATATTTTATTCGAGCATTCGAGAGTATATTTTTCGGTTCAGTTGTGTTCGTTTGGAGATCAAATAGTAGATATACCTTCAGGCGTGCTGTGAAGAAAGTGACGTTATGTAAAGGATATGCTGATTGATTGACTGATCATGGACTTGTCTTCCCCTCCAAGCATCTTGCTGTCGCGAGGGAAAGACGATGGGGTGCTTTATTAATATCCTACCCCAAATAGGGCAAATCCACAGGTCACGGGGCAGTATAACATTTCAGGGGGTGGTAGGCTGCATGCAGTCGATGGACCTAGGCTGCATGCAGTCGTGGGATCTAGGCTGCACTCTCTCGTGGGACGTAGGTGGGTTGGGGTTAGGGCCAGTTCTAGACGTTTTGGGGTCGTTAAAAGCATCAGAAAGCCGGGAACCCTGTTTTACCACCCTCTTCAATGAAGGACTGTCATGTTGCGTCATCTGGGGTACGATATTAATAAAGAACCAACGATGGATTTTAAGTGCTGAAATTATAGAATGGCTGTCCGCTTAGGCAAAAATGCACGGTTTCATCGAGAAATGAATAACTTCTTAAATTTTTTTTCTTTTAAATGTATTTATGTAGGTGTACGGTACACTGACGTCATCGGGATGAATACATCACTGTCATAGTGATGCCGTAATAACGTGTAAAATAGAGTGCAGTAGAGTTTCACAAACCGAAACTAAACACTAAAGGCATGTCTAGAAACCATGGAGCAGTAACAAGACAAAAATACATTGCTAAGACGTCGGGTGTCTTTACTGGTAACAAATACAACAATGTCCAATATTTGAAAAGAAAAAGAGAACATGTTTATTGGGGTTTTAACTTGTTTAACAGCCAGAGGTAAGAGACGATGTTTAGGTTACTTGACATTATAATTGCAATTTGGTAAAATTGAAGGTTAGAAATTTGTTGCCATAGTTTCCAACAGCAAAGAGCAGAGAAAGATTTCTGACTAATAACCTTGCGTGCCTTTAAAGCATTCGTAGGTTTAAAGACTTCGAAAAGAGTAAAAAAACTTAACTTCATAAACAGATGAAACAGTCAAACAATTAGTTAGTTTGCATTTCACCTATAGATGGTAATAAATCAATTCGTCATCCTATGAGAAAAAAAGTGAAACAATGTGATGACTGGACAGATTTATGTAAAGGGAGGTCAAGGAAGAAACACGAGAAGATTTGTGGCAGCCTTTTGACAAGGCATGGAATGATGTCAGCGCACGATCTGACACACGCTGTTGGAGAAAGTTATCTTACGTCATTAGGCAAAAAACTTGATATTCAGGATGATCTATTTGCTGTCATCAATGATTTGTGAAAACTCCTATAATACCATGGGCTAAGTGGGGCAAGGGGGGGGGGGGGGGGCAGGACAGATATCCCCTACATGATCTGAACTTCGAGGAAAGCTTGCTGAGAAACAGCATCTTGTCCCAAAAAGCTGAGGCACTTTGGATATGCTAAGCGTTATGGTTTCCGGAAATGAGGCAGACATGACAGAGGTCAGCCTCTGCCAAGGGGTGTATAAGGCACTGAAGATGCTTTGGTTATAAAAGCATATTGGGCTTGAGAATGGGCTAGAGAAGAAGAGAATTTCAGGCGTGTTATAAAGAAAGCTACATTATGTATAGGACTTACTGATTGATGATATTATGTGGCAGCTGCAGAGATGTGAATTTGTAGACAAATAATTGAATAAAATAGTAATGAGGATGTCTTAGAAGCAGTCCAGTCACTAAGAGAACTGACTACTAGCACCAGAGGGAAACGGTGCGAATTCTTTGGTCACAAAGCTCGAAGAGAAAAACCGAAGTACATCGTCAAAGCATGAAAGCTGGAAGGGAAGATAACTATGATATGGGGCTATACAATATGTAGAATTTAGATACACAAGTTGGGAACAGGGCTACCGAAGTTGGTATGTTCGTACAATTTTTTGAACTGTTTGACCTTTGCCAAGCAAAACTGCACTTTTGATACCACGCCCGATGTTTCGGTATATTTTCGAAATTTTGCATCAATATTTTAAATGCTGGCATTGTACACTGGATCCAGTAAATGTTACTCAAGGAAGACTGACGTCTGGCTGCTTTTGGTACATAATTTTCCAACCTTGTTAAAGAAAAACATTATGAAGAAAAAATGAGAAAAAAAAAATATAGAAAACCAGTAGTGCGAGATTAAACATATAATGCAGAAAAAAGAAATGAAATCCAGAAAAAGTTTGGTTTATAATTTCAGAAGAAAAATGTGGAGATAGAAATCGCTTTGCATTAGTATCAACATGTATGCTTAGTCTTCTGGCGTTACCTTGTTCCTCTGCAGCTGAAAAAAAAAAAAAGAGTTTTCTCTCTGCTCAACAATATTAAGATAACGAAATTGCTCAACTTTAACAATAAATGCATTGATGAGATCAAAGTTACAGCTCCAGGACATTAACTGCCCTAAGAGCCAAGAAAACAGCTTTGTAACAAAGTGAGCATAGGAAAAAAATAGTACAGCAATCATGTAATGGACAGAGAATTTTAATTTTTACAAAAAATCAGGTTAGTCAGTTATATGTATGTGTGTATATACCTGTGTGTGTGTGTGTGTGTGTGTGTGTGTGTGTGTGTGTGTGTGTGTCGGTGCGTGTTTCAAGTTTTATCAAATTGTGTAATTACAAATTTGAAAAATCTGGTACTATTTAGTCCGTACTGGTACCTCTCTCTCTCTCTCTCTCTCTCTCTCTCTCTCTCTCTCTCTCTCTCTCTCTCTCTCTCTCTCTCTCTCTCACACACACACACACACACACACACACACACACAAAACCAACAGCTGGGTACTATTCCCAAAAATGTTTCAGCAGCCCTGGTTGAGAAATCACTCGCATGGACTAAAACAAAATTTGACTCGACCAAGTTCCATGGCGTGAGAAGGCGAAGACTTGAGTATATCGCGACAAGAGAACACTTGAAGAAAAGAGAAGCAGATGGCGAACAAGAAAACAAACAAGACAGTTCTGCATCATGGTACAAATGATTTTGTTGGTGTTATGAATGACTGAAAGTACGCAAGGTATAGAAATATCGACATACATGACTACCAGCGACATACGGTACGGTAGGGCTGTTCAACTAAGTTTACTCAGGGGCCAATATGTTGACAATGGGGATCGTCACATGACAGAGGCCTAAGCCCTAGCACAAAAAGATCATTTACAGTACAACTGAACATGAACCGCGGGCCACACGTTAGTCTTCTGTAAGCCAAATTTGGCCCGCCGGCCGCCTGTTGAATAGCCCTGTGGTACAGTGTATACTGTATAAGAAGATGAACAGAAGAGTTTTAAGTGGTTTGTTTTCTAGTATTCTGAGTCTGATTTTTTAATAATGTTACAACATTTGTTGCGCAAACTAATACTATACAATGTTAACGCTGTCCTACAAAGCAACTAAATGTAAAAACTACACACAATTTAAACGTGTGAAACAAATCTCTATGCTGTGATTATACATGTATACATACATACATCCTGTATCAGCATTGTTTGAATTACTTCTTCATTGCGAGTATTTCAGGAGAGTTCGTTACTCGATAGAACAAACGAACTAGACGGTCGTGTTGATCATGGTCTAGCTAGAGTCCACTCTACAGATGCTAAGGGTCTAAGTTCTAATCCCCTATAACACCAGTGACATTTATTTAGCTGTCGGAAATAAACTAATAATAATAAAAATAAAAAATAATAACATCCAAACCAGAACACTGTCTAAACAAGCTGACTTAGCTCTTCAGTCTTAAAGTAAAGTAAAAGTATTCTTTTCTTGTTACGAGACGCAGTAGATGTGTAGTGGTAACGCTTTCTAAACAGACCAATCGTCTTTTGTTGTATCATTTTCTTTATTTTCTGTGCTCGTCCTTAAATGAGCGGCTGGCACACTGTGTTGTGGTTTACATATAGACTGTTAAATCAGCTTATTTTGGCTAAAGACATCTGCTTTCAATAAACCTCCTAATAATTAGCCTATTGCGACATGAATGTTAGTGTACTGCAAGTCTACCCTCCCACCACGCCGTCTTCCAAAAATATGGTACCCGAAACCTATATGGCGAATTTGGCATATTATGGCAATGGCTTTCAACCTTTCATACAGGTCCTCACGTTGTGGTGACCCCCCCCCCCCCCCCCCCCCCCCCAACCATAAAACAATTTTCGCTGCTACTTCATAATTTCAATAAAGATGTATTTTCCGATGGTTTTTGGCGATCCCTGTAAAAGGGTGGCTCGACCCACAAGAGGGTCGAGACCCACAAGTTGAGAACCACTATGTTATAGGACGTTGATATAAGGTAGACAACTCGCAATGAAAGGGAAGTAACTTATTACAATGACAGAATGAAAATACACAAGTTTGAACATCTCCAGCGATGATTAAAACAAGAACTTACCCGACCAAGCTCCACCGGATGTTCGCCCTCGCAGGCTGTAGTGTCGTTGTGAAATTGTGGCCGGAGTTCAGGCAACGTCTCCAGGCAGAAGCCGGCGATCGATGTTACCACGAATAGGAATGAGGCCACTCCATAAACCTGTTAACAAAAAGTGCAACATTAATGACCCCAAGCAATGTTATGTCGTCCCCTTGTGGGATAAAATTTTTCGTTATTTGAATTCCCACCCTGGCTTTTGCCGGGGGCCCTGAGCATAGCTGGGCTACAAATGTGGCCATAACAGCTGAAAGGGGTTTCCGGGACCTCTACATGGGTGATCCTCATCCGCATGGTGGCACTTTGTGTCACCGGGTGTTTATCGCTTGTGGGATGTCCTGGTGGGGTACGACTAGCACGCAAACAAGTTATGACTCCTGCTCAGAATAAACTTCAAACGCATAGGATTCCAGGTTACACCAGGTTATGCGATGAGGGTGCCCTAAGTACATCTTCTTTAGAGGTTGAACTGCGTATCTGGGATTTGCTGTGTTTACTCACTTCCAGAATGAGTTTCTGTAAGGTCAGAATTGGTAAACCCTCAGGTAGCAGCAGTCTGAAGCGACTGACGGATGCAGGGATGGGACCAAAGCATTTAGAGGCGTCTCGCTTCCAGGGGGGGGGGGGGGGAATTTCACGTCAGTGGGGACGTCATTAACTGGAGCCACGCAGCATTCCTTGGGAGGTGATGCTCAATCTTTTAGATTGCTAGGGTAAATAAGAACCCTTCCCATGCTTACTAACAGCAGATATCACTGCAGGGATGTTCGCCGGCGGCTACTTGGTTCCCAATAGGTCCTTCTGTATATAAGTCCTTCTGACTAAATCACGGTACATTTTGGCGGAGTCACTTCGAAAATGGGTTACTGGAAGCGTTTCCATGTTGCATTGTTTGACATTTTAACGTGCTTACAAAGTTCTGTGTTCTGAATGTATTCGTATTACAAATCGAGAAGCGGATATTGTGAAGTGGTTATACAAGATTTCGAAACTTTGCTGTTAGATAACAACAATTTAAATTTAAATTCACGGCAGACAGTCGTGTTGTGATGTGAGTGTCACTGTTTCTAGTCAGTAGTTTGGACTTTTGAGAACTGGCTGTTTATTCTTTTTCTACTTCAAATGTAGAAATCACACTTTTGGAGAAAATGCAAACAGGTAATTTAGAAGCCACATCTGGAGAATATCGACAGTTGTCAGGTGCAATCTTGTGTTAGAAGAAAGCTATTGCTTTTATATAGAGAAGGCTGTGGTTCCCAAGAATGCGTTAGCAGTAGTTATGTTCGTTTACATAGTCCATCCTGGGGAGATATAATTGACCTGAACATCAAGGAGAACTGGTTCGAAAGCTGATGTATTTTGGCTCTGCCAAACATCGTGTTGGTCTGGAGAAAACGGTGATGGAAAGTGCAGTTTCAGAAAACGAGGCAGAGGATGACCTCCGCGAACGTGGATGCAGTACAATGAAAATGCGTCGACCATGAAAAGCACACAGGGCTGGAGAGGTGGCTTGATAAAGAGAAATTTTAGGCGTGCCGTGAAGAAAGCGACGTTATGTAAAGGAAACGTTGACTGATTGACTGATCATGGGATTCTCTTCAACTTTGAGTATCTTGCTGTCACCAGGGAAAAGATGATGGATTTCAAGTGATGAAATTAAAGAACGGCTGTCCGCTTAGGCAAAAAAAAAAAAAAAAATGCACGGTTTCATTGAAAAATTGATAACTTCTTAAAAAGGTTTGTTTATTTATGTATTTATGTATGTAGGTGTAAGGTAAATTTACATCATCGGGACGAGTAAATCACTGTCATAGTGATGCAGTAATATTATGTACAACAGTGAATATGTAATTAACATATATTTGCAATGATTTCATAGATTGATTTTCAGATGACATTTTGTTGTTAAAGGTGTAAGAGGACAGGCTAATTTCGGGGCTGGAAAAAATTCGTTTAACATTCCTCCTTTTTAATATTCACCCCTCCTTCTCCCTGCCTTCTTTGGAACGGATTAATGACGATACATAGAAGTGTCACTGTATTCTTTCTTCTAAGAAGATTAAAAAAGGACCCTCGGTATCGTAGCCGGAAGTTGTTTCATGTCAGGCCTTAGGTGAAGGGTTTGAATCCGCATCAAAGCTGCATTTCCTTCCTAGAAATGTTTGATTTTATCTCCCAGTTTGATCCAACCTAAAAAATATACCAGATAATGTGCTAAGCGTGAAAGGTGGAAGGCGTTACATTGATCACATTGTTGAATGTTGAGCCCTCTGGACATTCCTGGAGTGGAATATACGGAGGCATGAAGAGATCATTATAGTCTGGAGAGAATGGAACAGGGGATCTGGTCAACGCTCTACACTCAGAGGAAAAGCGAGACGGATATACAACCAAACTGCTACTGGCACCCTCATAACTGCCACTTTTCGCTGGCTGCTGAAGATGAGGACGGCACGCGTATGCTGATCGCATCAGTCATCGAGTGCCGATGTGTCCATACACGGCCGACTCTATTTCAGCAGCTGAAGCCGGTCGTGGTCCACACAAGTATAGTGCCGCAGTTTCGAAAGTCGTGCCTAGCTTTAAAAATATGTAACTCAGTATGTTAGATGGCTCTGAAACTTGGAGCACAACTAAAAGAGATAACAGCCTTATAACAGGTTTTCGAAAACAGAGTTCTACGAAGAATCTTTGGACCTACCAAAGATGCAAACAGCGGTTAATGGAGAGTGAGAAACAACAACGAAATTCATAATCTGTTTAAATCACCACTGATCACTGGCATCATGAGAGCTAATAGACTTAAATGGCTGGGACATATTGAGAGAATATAAGATGACAAAGAAGTAAAAAACTGTATACACCAGGGAAATGAATGGTCGTAGACCACGAGGAAGACCAAGAAGACGATGGAGAGATAATATCCAGACAGACCTGCAAACATTTGGTGTCACCAACTGGAAAGAGAAGGCCAATCAGAGAGATGAATGGAGGCGGGTGATATCTGCAGCAATAAACCTCAAGGGCTCGGAATGCTGAAGAAGAAGAACTCAGTAATCGTTCGGTGTGATTTGTTGAAATATGGCTAAAAACTTGTTAGTAATCATGTCCTTGTGATTAAAAAAAAAAAAAAAATGCTGTTCTTTTTCTTCTTGTTTGCGTTCACCAGCTGTAAACTCTGGTGAAATGTGTTGGTTGTTCGTCCACTTCTGGACTGCAGTCGTTGTTCCAGAACCCGAGGTGTGCGTGTGCATCCGTTTGACAGATCCTACTCATTTACGTGCAGACTATTGATTCCTTGCTTCTCGGGCAGATGAACTCCGACTTCGAAGAAACACCAAACAAGTCGACTCTTACACCATACTCTTCGATAGGCAGTGGTCCCGCCCCCCCCCCCCCATAAAAGGTCATGGGAACCTACAAGGTGGGGGGGGGGGGGGGTGCTTTTTAAATGTAAAGAAACATCTAGTTTTTATTTTGCTTATTTGCGGTATATGGGAGGAAACAAAACAGACATCGATTCAAAGCCACAATCCGCAAGCTTACAATTAATTCAGTAACAAGAAATTTTTTCAGAGACCAGATTGCAAGCCTGTCCCTCTCAGATGGCAATTTCCAGCATTAGTCTCCGTGAGCTGTGGATTTTCCATTGTACACAGGATAAGTAAAAGTAAAATAAAATCCCTTTTTACGCCTTGGGTGCATCGGGCATATGGGAACAGTGTCCCATATTTTTCAGACCAATCGGCACTGGGTGAGTAATGTGGTCAGCATTACGCCGGCCGTCTTTACTTCCCCATGACATACATCCTGGTACCCATTTTAGGCTTGGTCGATCTGCGACGCCCCATACCATGATAAAAATCCACGCAGCCAGCAGCGGGTTTCGATGGCGGTATGATGGAATTACGAGTCGTACGTGCAATGCCTAAACCACGGACGCCGCTTGTATACGGAATAGGCTATCAAAATAATCACTTGCCATCTCTGCGCATGTGAAATGATTTCCAAACTATCTCCAGGCGTGTGTCAGTTACAGCATATTCAATTTTTTATTTTAGGGGTAAACAAATTATTTCTCAGACAAATATCAACGAAAATTCTCGGCTTTAAGGACAAGAAAACAGCACATGTGCATACAGTATAAAATCATAAACATAAGGGGAATCACATGTTGTGACCACTGGAAAGATTTGTGGAAGGAGGGAAGACAACAAGAAAAGATTCTTGATAGTCTTGTTGCATAGCATGGAGGTGTGTCAACACGAACTGATACATGCTGCAGGAGATCGTGGATTATAGAGAGGCATGATCGCCCACCCCAGCCGGCAAGGCACCTGATGATGATGATGATGATGATGATGATGATGATGGGAAATCTAAGGCGACATGGACAAGTTCGTGTTGATCCGTAATAAGTTTTTGAGTTATTTGTTAAAGTGTCAGGGTACGCTGATTTTTCACTATGCTTTTATTATGAGTCCTACTCCCGAAATGAGCCCTAGTAAAGATCGTCAGCCAGATTGAGAGACTTGCTGCCGAATGGCCAGTCGGAATGCAGACGCCACAGACAAATTCCGGCCGGAGTTATGGATTAGGAGAGTATGGCAATGCTCTAGAAGAAGATGATGTGACTGTATTTGAATAAATGTAAAAATCTGTACGTGAATAAATGTAGTGTTTGAATATTAAGTGTTTACAAAAAACACACTCAAACGCACGCGCGCACACACATACGCACACACACAAGATATCGACCAAATGTAACCCCTAGTATATTTGAGACGCAAAAATTATTATACGAAGCAGTATTATTTTCTGGTAAGCAGGCTACGTATATATATATATATATATATATATATATATATATATATATATATATATATATATATATATAAATTTTTTTTTTTTTTCGTAGAGCGGGTGTTTGCCTTCCGATAGCAACACTTAAAACAGCTCTGCAGCAATAAACTACATAACCAGTGATGAGGAAGATGTATATAAGAAGCAGTAATAGAACCAAACGTGAATCAGAAGCTACAGACAACAAGAAAAGTGGGGAGTAATAGCAACTTTTCCGAAGTGAACAAGCAGCAATCTTC